CCCTCTGCCCCAGCCTGGAGCGTTCCAGGGGGTTGTTGGGACCCAAGTGCAGGGCCTGACACTTGGCTTCGTTGATCCAGCCTGTCCAGATCCCTCTGCAGAGCCTTCCTGTCCTCCAGCACATCCACAGTCAGACTCAGCTCAATCAGTCTCCCAAACAGACCAAAGTCTGACCACCAGCAGTCCAAGGTGTCAGTTCTGCTTCCCCCTCCTTCCTTCACTCCGAAAGGAAAACTCCATCATTCTGGGGTCTCTGTGCCCGACGGCTTGGACCACCACATCCCCCACCAGTCACAGAATCATGGAATGGTTTGGGTTGGAAGGGACCTTAAAGAGCATCTTGTTCCAACCCCATGCCATGGACAAGGGGCGCCGTCCACTAGACCAGGTTTTTCACAGCCCCATCCAACCTGGCTGTGAACACTTCCAGGGATGAGGCAGACAGAATTTCTCTGAGCAACCTGTGCCAGGATCTCACCACCCTCCCCATAAAGAATTTCTTCCTAATATCCCGTCTAACCCTTCCCTCTGTCACCCTTGTCCTGTCACTCCAGGACCTTGTAAATAATCTCTCTCCATCTTTCTTGTTGGCTCCCTTCAGGCACTGCAAGGCCACAATTAGGTCACCCTAAAGCCTTCTCTTCTCCAGCCTCAACAATGCCAATTCTCTCAGCCTTTCCTCACAGCAGAACTGCTCCATCCCTCTGATCCCCTTGGTGGTCTCCTTGGACTCGCTCCAACAGATCCATGTCCTTGCTATGCTGGAGCCCAAAGCTGGAGGCAACTCTGCAGGAGTGACAACATTACAGCCGTGTGTGTTCCAGCAAGGACACTGTGGAACCTCCTGGAATAAAGGGGCCATTGTGACACTGTAGGGCCTTCTGGACCCAAAGGAACCCTGAGACACTGTGGAATCTCATGGAATCAAGGGAGCATTGTGACAATATGAAAACTCATGGAATTAAGAGGCCATTGTGACACTGCCTCATGGAACCAAAGGATTCCTGGGACACTGCAGAATCTCATGGAACCAAGGGGCCACAGTGATATGTGGGGCCTCCTAGAACCAAAGGAATCCTGAGACATTTTGCAAACTCATGGAATCAAGGGTCCATTATCACACTACAGAACCTTATGAAGCCAAATGGACCCTGCGACTCTGTCCAACCTCATGGAATCTAGTGGCTATTCCCACACTGTAAAACCTCATGGATACTCTCAGGTTCCAGTTATTAAAAGAGACGCCTCTGCCCAAATTCAGCTGCAAAGGAGACCACGTGCCAAAGTCAGCAGTCCAGGTTTGATTTAACAGTAAATAGGAGGGAGAGAGAGAAAGAAATAGAAAGAGAGACAGAGAAGAAGGGGGTGGTGGGAAGACAGTGAGAGAGAGACAGAGATGAAGTAAATGTATCACACCATGTAGATCCCTGAGGCTCCTGCCGGTCCTTCTTCACCCTGCTCTGCTCGGTGGAGGGTCCCCAAGTTGTGCTTCTGGGGTATCACTTTTATACAGCCCAAGCCCCAGGTATTCAGGGGGGTAGATGCTGTTCCCACAGCTTGGACTGGCACATGTACAAGGACTTGCTTCCTTTCCCACAGCTTGCCACAGTGGGAGTTTTGCCCGGTGTGCTTCCAGTCTGCAGGTGGGAATCTTTGTCTGGATGGGTTCCCCAGACCTGCCTTACCAGCCCTGGCTTCCTGTTGGGGTTGTCTGCTCTTTCCCCCAGTCTGCACAGTGCAATTCTGTCCTGTGGGCTACTTCCAAAGCTTCACCTCCCTTTAGGCCTTGGAATTAAATGCCTTCCTGTTTGCCACCAGTGCTTATGTGTTGTGGCGCCTTACTGGATTTTCCTTCTTTGACAGTGTTTTGAAACAGTTCATTGTGCCCTTCAAGTCCTTACATGTGCACACACACCCCACTCTCACCAGTGTCTGTCCCTCCAAAGAACACAAGACCTGATGATTTGTAGCTCCCACTCCAGTGGTTGGCACTTGGAGCTCCCTCCATACGCAGAGCTCAGAGGTCCCTTGTCCCAGAAACTTTAAAGATATTGTGCCTCATTCTGCCAAGACAACCCTTGGAAAAAAATGTCCCTCTGTGTTTCCTGGGATAAGAGCACTATATTGTCATCTTCCAAAACTTTGGAGAGGTCCCAGAGATCTCCCAGGAAGGAGTTTGGGGCCTCAAGCACATGACCCGTATATAGAGGCTGAGGACTCAGGGGTCAGGGGTGCGAAGATCGAGGACAGTACAGGAGTAGCCTGAGAGGTCTGGAAGGGGGGTGTCAGAGCTGGTGGAGCTTTTCTTCCTGGCAGAAAACAGCCTAAGAAAGAGCTAGTGCCACCAAGGGCAGCTGGGGTGGCCTAGACTGGTGACAAGAAGTAAGAAATTTCCCTCTGAGGTCAGTATTGTGCTGCAACACGTCACCCAGGAGTCTGGATGAGCCCAAGGCTTTGTGTGTGCAGGAAGAGCCAGGGAGGATGCAGAGATGTCAGTGCAGGAAGGTGCCAGCCAGGTGGGGCAGCTGGGGGGGGATGACGACAGCCTGCAGGGAAAGGGGCAGGGCATGGACACCATAGGACAGCCTGGGCTGGAGAGGAGAGAGGGATGGGGAGAAGCTGAAAGGCCCTGACAGAGCCCCCTTCTGCACGCCTTTGGCCATGGCTGCTGTCTGTGGCCCTGATGCCAGGAGGAGACAAGTGGCCCTTGCAGCCCTGGGGCCTCATGGCCTCCTTGTCCCTGCTCAGCAGCCTGGCAGGTGCCACCCCATGGTCCTGCCCTTGACATTGCACATCCCACATCCCAGTGCCCCAGGAAGAGCCCTGAGGAATGAGGCAGGGACAGGATGTGCCTTCCCAGGGGCTGGGGGTCAGGGCTTGGCCCTTTGGATTAAGGAAACAAGTCACTGTTTCTTCAGCATCAGAGCCACCTTTCCCTTGCTTGTCCATCCTTGTCATCACTGTCTGCAGTTTTCTACTCTAACTGGAACCTGGGGACACGTTCTCAGTTGTGTCCCTCAGTGAGACTCATTAGCACTACAAGAAACTTGAGTGTTTCAATCTCACTTTCACTTCTTGAAAAGTTGTTTGAACTTCCTCTCAGGGACTGAGTCTCATGTAAACAACATCAAACCCCCTCGAGGGTCATGAAATGCCTGGGGCTGTTGCTGTGCTGCTGAGCTGGGCCAGGCTCCTGGCCCACAGGGAGCTCCTGGCAAGCAAGAAGAGCTTCAAAGACACAGCTCTGCCCAGGAGCAGCTCCTCTGCACAGCCCAGCAGGGCTGAGGGCACTGCCTGCAGCACCCAGGGCACAGGAGAGAAGGCAGAGATGAGAGGCAGCCTGGGCTGGGAGGTGACTGAGCTCTCACTATGGGAGAAACCTTCCCAGGATTTGAAGGAAGAATTCTCTGGCTGTAGGAAAGTTCAACTTGCCTTCCTGGAGGGCTCTCCTAAAGCTGGCCCATCCCACAGCTTCTAGGATGTTTCAGCAGGGCTCTCCTGGTTGCTGCAGTGCAGAGGAAGTGGCCATATGGCAGAGCAGGGCAGGAGCTGCAGGCAGCAAGGGCAGAGAGGAGAAGGGAGCAGGAGGTTGAAGGGATCCTGGGGTGGGAGGACAGGGGAGAGCTGCTCAGGGGAGGAACCTTGCCAGCCCTTTACCACGCTCAGGCTCTGGCTGCAGAGCAGTGCAGGGGAGTTCCTGCAAGTGCCTCTCCCAGCTGCCAAATGCCAGCAGTGGCAGGAGCTGTCAGGATGGCTCTGCTGGATTTGCTGGGGTGCAGCAGGAGAAGCTGCTGCAGAGCAGGACTTGCTGCTGCCCCCTCAGAGGCCCAGGGCAAGAAGGTTCCCTGTGCCAGGGCTGGCTGTGGGCTGGGAAGGTGGGGGTGCAGCCAGGGGTGCCCAGGGCTGTGGTGCAGAGCAGGGTCCTGCCCCCAGGGCTCTGTGTGCTGGGGCAGGGACTCTGCTGCCTGCCAGGGGCAGCTCTCAGCCCGGCCAAGGAGCTGCCACGGGGCTGGGAGAGAAGAGCTTTGGGGAAGGAACAACTCCTGGGAGGGCAGAGCAGGGCAGAGTCCTTCTGATCTCCACAGTGTGCTGCAGGGATGAGGGCTGGTCACAGCTCCAGATCAAAGCAGGACATTTCCCAGAAGGTATTTGCAAGAGGCACAGACAGACAGGAGGTACCTTAAAGAGAATGAACCAGTTCTTCCAGTGTTATACTCTGGGTTGTCTGGGTCCTGCCTGCGACAGAGAAATGAATCTCTGAGCACAGGAGGAGACACTGAAACTTGAAGTCTGTTAGATTAGAGGGGATTGAACCTGAGAGTATCAGACATCAAAACTGTCCTATAGACAGCAGCAGTGTCACTTTTCCAGCCTCCCCAGGGTTGCTCTGACATTGCCAGCAGAGCCTGCCCAGCCAGAGCTTGAGCCTCCAGGGCTGGGATGGGCACTGGCAGCACTGGCAGGGCCCAGCCCTGTGCACAGGAAAGCAGCTGCTGGCAGGGACAGCTCCAGGCAGCAGAGGCCTGGGCAGGGAGTGGGGGGAAAGTGCCCCCAAGGCCTGGGGGAGGGGGTGTTCAGGCAGCTCTGGGGGCCCTTCCCTGCAGCTCTGCTGGGCACTGTGTGCTGGGCCATAGAAATGAGGATTCTTGCAGTGGAAAAGAACCTTCCCCAGGTGTGTTGGTAAAAATAGAAAACACAGGGACAATTATTCTAAGGACAGACTAAGCTTCTGCTCTGCTGCCCCAGCTCTTCTGAATCATGGGTGTAGATGTGGAACTTTTGTACTCAAGGTCTGTTACATCTGACATTCCCTGTGTGTGTGAGAGCTCTACCAAAAAAATTTCATGTCACAGTGCAGCAGAGTAAAACAGAGTCCTTGGCAGCGCATTTGGTGACATTTGACACATTGATTTCTTTTAAAAATGGAGTTGCTTTTTCACAGAGATCTGTCTTAACTGTCCTTTCCTTTCCTGAACAGGCCCTATGCTAGGAAACAACAGATGTCCAACAGTAGCTCCCTCACCCAGTTTCTCCTCCTGGCATTCGCACACAGGCAGGAGCTGCAGCTCCTGCACTTCTGGCTCTTCCTGGGCATCTCTCTGGCTGCCCTCCTGGCCAACGGCCTCATCCTCAGCGCCATAGCCTGCGACCACCACCTGCACACCCCCATGGGCTTCTTCCTGCTCAACCTCTCCCTCACAGACCTGGGCTGCATCTGCACCACTGTCCCCAAAGCCATGCACAATTCCCTCCATAACACCACAACCATCTCCTACATGGGATGTGCTGCACAGGCTTTTTTCTTTTTGTTCTTCATGTCAGCAGAGTTTTCCCTCCTCACCATCATGTTCTATGACCGCTACATTGCCATCTGCAAACCCCTGCACTACGGTACCCTCCTGGGCAGCAGAGCTTGTGCCCACATGGCAGCAGCTGCCTGGGTCACTGGGTTTCTTTATTCTCTGCTGCACACAGCCAATACATTTTCCCTGCCCCTGTGCCAGGGCAATGCCCTGGGCCAGTTCTTCTGTGAAATCCCACACATCCTCAAGCTCTCCTGCTCAGGCACGTACCTGAGGGAAACTGGGCTTCTTGCTTTTAGTGCTTTTCCTTTTTTGGGATGTTTCATTTTCATTGTGTTCTCCTATGTGCAGATCTTCAGGGCTGTGCTGAGGATCCCCTCTGAGCAGGGGCGACACAAAGCCTTTTCCACCTGCCTCCCTCACCTGGCCATGGTCTCCCTGTTTATCAGCACCTCATTCTTTGCCTAACTGAAGCCCCCCTCCCTCTCCTCCCCATCCCTGGACATGGTGTTTGCTATTCTGTACTCACTGGTCCCTCCAGCACTGAACCCCCTCATCTATAGCCTCAGGAACCAGGAGTTCAAGGATGCCCTGAGGAAACTGGTAACTGGGTGTTTTTTGCAAACACGGACAACCCGCTTCCTGTGCAGTGACTTCCAGGGTACATCATGACAGACCAAGTCTGCTATTTCTTTTTTATATTTTTTTCCTTTTATCCACTTTTTATGATGGTTTCAATAAACATAATTATTTCTCCTCTTCAATATCCACCCATCTTGTGTGACCTATAGACTTTGTATAAATGGGAAACCATTTCCTTTAAGCAAAACAAACGAACCTTCAGACACTTCTTTATCTAAGATTCATCCTCAGCACAGCAGGATTGAATAGGAGGGAAAAACACCTTTCTGGCTACACCAGGTTGGGGCTGGTTCTTTTGTCTCTAGGGAATAGCAGGGGCAAGGCTAGTGCTGGCCTGGGGAGATGGGATGCCAGAAAGGGGCTTCAGAGCTCTCAGGATACCCTGTATAGGGACCACAGGATGCCATGGACCTCCTTTTCCTTCTGCTCACCCATTTTTGGGCTGACTCCTCTCTGCCTCCAGGAGCTACTGTGCCCTTCAGAGGGGCTGAGGCTGTGGGGGGAGTGCCCAGAGCTCTGCAGCACCCTGGAGTGGGCACTGCTGTGGGGCCAGACCAGACTGGGCTGGGATGGAGACGTGGTAGGGGAACTGGGAGGGCTTGGAGGGAGCTGTGCTGGGCTGGAACATTGCTGGGAGAGGAGAATATCAGTGTGTGTTTCACAGTGTGTGACTGTGTTGTGTGAGGGCTCATATCAGGGGGGTTGTGGTGCAGAGCCAGGGCTCCTGGATGGGAGGTGAGACAGGCAGGTGAAGGACAGAGGAGGCCAGACTGTGCCCTTGGTGTTATGGTCAGACTGGGAAGGTGTGTGGTGGTGCATCCCCCCGCCCATCCTCAGGCCTGATCCCAGGAGCTCCTGATAAGCCTTGACTGAAGGGGCTGAGCAGTGAAGTGTCCCTTAACCTTCCCAGTGGAGCCATGAGGCACTGCCTGATCATACCAGGAGCTCTTGCATGGCAGAGATGGGGACAACCAGAATCATCAACTGCCCAACCAAGGATGTGCAATTACCATTTGTAGCCTTGGTAAAACATTCCCTTGAATCATAGCCCAACGGAGCAGCACCATTGGGAATTGTAGCCCCAGTGGAACAGTACAACTGTTACAGCACTTTGGGAAGACAGTCCAGTAGTTTCTGAATTGGGTTATGTCCAGAATGGAAACTTAGTGGTGGCCAAAGTCAACCATCTTGTGACCCTATAAAGAGCAGTCCTGAGTGAGGCCCTGTGAGCTCTCCTGGGCCACAGTGGCTGTTCCAGCACCTTCCTCTTTGTGGGACAACTCTTGGAGCCTCCTGGAGCTTGGGAACCCTCAAGTTTGGGATATTCAGCAGACTTGCTGACAATGAGGACTGGGCTCATACCCAACAACAGACACACACACTCCTCGAGATGCCACCCTTGTCTGTTGGGAAACACAAAGGGATTTGACAGGAGTATTTCACTGACAACAAGGGGAATTTTTGATAGGTACCTTTACACACACAGATGTTCACAACTCTACCTCTGTGTGTGTGTGTTCACTGACTGTGCTATGAATGTGGTTATAGTGAATCAATAATTGTCACTGTTATGATTGTAGCAAATCCTATTGAATCCCTTTATAAGGATTAAATCGGTCAATGATTAAGTGCTACTAATCTCTTTTGCCTCCTTTTCTTTTACACCTTTACACCTTGACCCTTTTGCATCTCTGACCTCTGTGTAAATCATTCTAAATTGACTCTAATCTGATTTTCCTATGTTTGCTTCATCTATGTAGTAAGAAATGGAGTGAACCTTGTCACCCAACTCTGCTTGGTCACACTTTCACACATTTATATTAAAACCTGAATTTTGCCAATTCCCTTGACAATGATTCTTTCAACCACCCAAACCACTCATTCAGGACACCCAAGGGACGTGGTGCAGTGCCCATCACTGCAGGTTTCAAGAAGCACTTGGAGATGGTGCTGGATGATCCCCTGTAGGCTCCCTGTCCCACAACAGGTTCTGCAGATGATCCCTTGTATGTGACTGTACAAATCTCTCTGTGGTCAGGTGAGGTTGGCTGTCCTGGCTCTGTCCCAACACACCCCTCTCCCCCCACAGCTTCTTGTCCACACCCAGGAACTTGCTGGGAGGAAGAAGAGTGAGAAGCAGAGCAGACCTTGATGGTGTGCAATCCCTGCTCCACAGGAACCACAAAGGCTGCTACAGTGGAAGAGAACCCCCTCCCAGCCAGGCCCAGCACACCTGAACCAAGGGCCCCCAAGAGGGCAAAACTGTGTGCAGGAGGTCTAAGGAGTGATGAGCAGGGACACACTCGCTTCCCTCACTCCTTTGGTGAGGATCCTGTTCAAACCCTGCAGGACACTGCTGGCTGCCTTTGCCACCAGGTCCCACTGGCCTGTGTGGATCACTGCTGGATCATGGTTTGCTTCCTGCCCACCAGCACGACCATTTCCACAGCTCCCCTCCCCAGTCAGGCAGTCCCTGCCCCTGCAGGGTGTCCCTCTGTCCCAGGTGCATGCCCTGGCCTTTGTCCTTCTCTCCCATGAAATTCCTGACAGGATGGTCCTGGTGCCAGCCAGGGTTCTGCTGAATGGCTTCCCTGAGGTCCAGCAATGGTCCTCCCCATTCAGTGCCATCCACAAACAGGGCAGAACTGCCTGCTCTGGGGAATGGTACAGGTGTTAAAGTGCCCAGGTCCCAGGAGAGTCACTTGTCCTGTCTCACAATGCCCCAGTATGTCCCAGTGCCCTGCAGGGAGGGTGAGAGCCCTTCCCCTCTGCTCTCTCAGCCTCATCATCCCGATGGGGCTTTGCCCCTCTCTTTGTCTGCCCATCCAGGCTGTGATGGCCTCACTTGGCCATAAGAGCATTGAGGGAAACCAGGCCAAAAGCTGAGCTGAAGCAGAGGTAAAACACATCCACTGCCCTCCCCTGTGCACCAATGGAGTTACTTCATCATGAAGGCGACCAGGCTAGTGGGGCCTGATTTATCCTTGGACAAGAGCTCCTGCTCTTCTCTTTCAGGTGCCAGACACATCACCCACTGGAGCCATTCCATGTCTCACTCCTCACCAAAGGACCTTGTGCAGCCTGTGCTTCCCTGGGCTGCACTTTTGGCCCCTGTCACAGATGGTGCAACATTGGTTTGTCTTCACTCCCAGGAGACCTCTACCAATTCCAGGGCCTTTTCAAAGGGACATTCCAAAGAAGTATCACTCTCCCCCTGGAGCTTCAGTACCACTGCTCTGCCTGTTAGATGGTGCATTGAGTTTCTCTAATCTCTCATATCCTCACGCCTGTCCTGACACACCTCTACACACATATTCTCACACAGACTGTCAAGACAAAGGCCCTGCTCAGTTTTCTCCTCCCTCTTTCTCCATTCACATCCCTCTCACCTGTACATGTGGTAAGGGAGGTAAAAGCTTGTTTGTCTTCAGGACTCTGATTGTCTCCTTAGTAAGCTCCTGAATTATGTTTCTATCAATCCTTTTGTATCAACCTGTGAAAAACCTTTCTGACAATGTTGTCCCTGATAGAAAGGTGACATCATTAGGGGGAGCTTGTACTGAGCATGTGGTTACAGGTGTTTTGATGTTTAGGGAGGTTGTTAATATTTCTTTTCTTTTCCTATAAATAGGAAAACTTTTTCTGGTCCTGTGTGCAAGCAGAGCTCTAAGGAGAGCAGGTGGGAGATGGTGCCATGGGGCTGGAACATCCAGCTGCAGAGCTGAGAGGTAAAGTCTAATGCAAGAAGGGTGATGTCAGTCCAAGATGGGCCATGTCAAAACTGGTGAGGTTGGGGGGTGAGGAGCAAGGTTGATCATACAGCGTCAGTCTGGATCTCCTGAGGAGACACTTGGCATTAGAACACTTGGAGAACACCTCTATCATCTCTCCTCTGAACTAAAAAATATCCATAATTGAATTAAAAGAAAAAAAGTCCAAACTTGGAAGACTTGTTTTGAAACTGCATTGAAGACAATTAAAGGAAGACAAAGAGATCCTGAGGGATATCTGCATTTTAATGAGCCCCACAGTGTGTTTGCAGCCCAGCCCATGATCCTGAGATACTGAGAGAAGATTGCAGCAGCTGCTGAAGAAGTCAGAAGCCCAACTCCAAGTCCCTTGAAGCATTGCTGGGCCCCACTGAGGGCAGGCACTGACAAAGCCTCCCCAGGGACTCCTTGGAGCAGATCCTTGGAGGCCAGGAGTGCAGGCAGACAAAGGCTCTGGGCAGGCCCCTGCAATGCTGAGCAAAGCCTGCCTTGGTTTTGTGGAGCACAAAGGCCAAGGCCTGAGCCCCAGACCCTGGCACAGCAGATCCTGTCCCACCCGGCTGGCTCAGGGCTGTTTGGGGGGCAGTGGGATGGGAGCGGGAGGAACAACAAAGGCCCAAAACTGGGCAACCCCTGCCAGGCTCCTGAGGGAGGGGCGAGGCAGAAACCAAGTGCAGAACCTGCCAGGAAAGTTGCTTGTGGTGGCCTGAGTGGCAGAGGCAGCTGCCAGAGGCAAGGGGACAAAGGCCTGGGTGCCTTTGGGCCTTGCAGCCCTGCCAGAGCCCTTGGCCATCTCTCCTGCAGGCTGTCCTGCCCTGGCCCTGCTGCTGCTCTGGCCTTGCAGGCTGCACACACCCCTCCTGCTTTCCCACCCCCTCCCAACAGCATTTCTAGACCCACCCTGATGTCTCTGCACCAGCTCTGGCTGTTGCCATGTGCACTTGGCCTTCTTAACTTGGATCCTGAGCCCCTGTGCCACAGGACATCCCTCCCAGAGCCCAGGCCCTTCTCCTGGGAGTCACTGCAGAGCTGAGCATGTCCAGGTCACCTCCCATTCCTCTGCCAACCCCCTGGGCCTGCTCTGGGCCCTCCAGGTCCTTGCCCTGCTCCCAAGGATTGTGGGGATGCTTAATGGTCAGGGCTTGGGGTTTAGAGCTCAGGGTGGGGATTAGGCAGAAGTTTGGGAGGTTTGTTTTTCTGCTGGCAGTGTCTGCTTCATGATTAGGGGAAGAGCTTTTTGGACTGGGGTAGGATTAAAGC